CACAGCAACCTCCAACTCCTGAGCTCAAGCGAGTCTCCTGCCTCAGCCTCCCAAGTAGCTGGGACTACAGGCGCCCGCCACAATGCCTGGCTATTTTTTTTTGTTTGCAGCCGTCATTGTCCCAGGTTGGATTCGAACCCACCACCTTAGGTGTATGTGGCTGATGCCTTAGCCACTTGAGCCACAGGCGCCGAGCAGAGATTTTTTTTTAATTCATTCTATTTTTTTCACCATAACCCCCATTCCCCTCTCTCCTCCCCTCTCCCCGCTCCCTCGTTCCCCTACCCCACCCATTGTATTAGCTCATTTACTGCCTTCATTTTTTTTTACTGCCTTCATATTAGAATTGAGTACACTGGATTCTTGCTTCTCCGTTCTTGTGATGTTTTACTAAGTAGAACATGTTCCACCTCCATTTTGTTTGGTTTATCAAATATCAGGTGCTGAAAGATGTTAATTTCATCGCATTGTTTTCTATTTGGTTCCAAATGTCAATGTCTCTATTTTTGTGCCAATACCATGCTATTATGATCACTATGGCCTTGTAGTATAGCCAGTGATATTCCAGCTTTGTTTTTATTAATAAGAATTGTCTTATCTATACAGGTTTTTTTCTGGTTCCATACAAAATGAAGAATCATTTTTTCCAAATCTTGACAGTATGATGATGGCATTTTAATGAGGATTGCATTGAATCTGTAGATTTCCTTGGGAAGTATAGGCATTTTACAATTTTGATTCTTCCCAGCCACAAGCATGGCATGTTCTTCCATTTGTTAATATCTTTTGTTATTTCTTTTCTTAGGGTTTGGATAATTTTCTTTGTAGAGAAAGAAAGACTAACACTCTTTTGTTAGGTATATTCCTAGGTATTTCTTTTTTCTTTTTTTGTAGTTACTGTGAAGGGAATTGTGTCCTTGATTAGCTTCTCATCTTGGCCATTACAAAGGCTACTGATTTCTCATCTTTGGCATATACAAAGGCTACTGATTTGTGGACATTGATTTTATATCCTGAGACACTAGTGTATTTTTTAATCACTTCCAGGAGTCTTGTGGTTGAGTCTTTGGGGTTCTCTAAGTATAAGAGCATATCACTGCCAAAGAGCAAGAGTTTGGCTTCCTCTGTGCACATTTGGATGCCCTTTATTTCCGTCTCTTGCCTGATTGTTGTCTAAGAACTTCCAGCACCATGTTGAATAGTAGGGATGATAAAGGAGAACCTGGTTCCAGTTCTAAGTGGAAAAGCTTTCAGTTTTACTCCATTCAGTATAATATTAGCTGTGGGTTTGTCATAAATAACTTTGATCAATTTAAGAAATGTGCCACTGGCCAGGCACGGTGGCTCCCGCCTGTAATCCTGCACTCTAGGAGGCCGAGGCAGGTGGATTACCTGAGCTCACAGGTTCGAGAGTAGCCTGAGCAAGTGTGAGATCCCATCTCTAAAAAAATAGCAGGTGTTGTGGTGAGCACCTGTAGTCCCAGCTACTTGGGAAGCTGAGACAAGAGAATCACTTGAGCCCAATAGTTTGAGGTTGCTGTGAGCTGTGATGCCA